ATAGGGTCGCTATGAGTCGCAGGCGACTCGATGGCACATAACAACAACAACAACAATAACAACCACTAAACACTCAAAGGCACACAGTTCAAATGCATCATCTCCTCTGGTATGATTTACTGCCTCCAAAAATCTGCTAGAGGGGCAGCAACGAGTTTCTATGACATGCCTCTAAACCATTTCATTCTCAAGACACCAAATATTTCCACCAGTAAAATATTCCAGTGTTCATAGCAGCATTATTCACAATTGCAAGAACATGGAAACAGTCTAAATGTCCATCAGCTAACAAACGGATCGAGAAACTGTAGAACATTTATACAATGGAATGCATTCACACAGTAAAATGCAGCACTAAGGAACAACAATTCTGTAAAAGGCTATATAACCCGGGGTAGGCTAGAGAGCATTATGCTGAGTGAACTAACTCAGTCTCATAAGGACAAACACTGCATGAAACCATTATTGTAAAAATAGAAGGATAACTAGTAAGATGTGCATAATAGTTCAAAAGGGGAAGGAGGGAACAGAGGAGCAACAGGGCAGGAGTTGGAAGGAGAGGAAATCACTAGAATGGCAGAGTTTGGTGGGTGGAGGGAGAGGCTGAAGAATTAGGAATGATCCAAAGGGGATCTGAAAAGACAAGACAGTATTAAGCACAGGTCACTAGTGATTAATTTTATAAAACCCAATGTGTATAAATGAGCATATGAAACACAATGTGAAAGAACAAAGGTGTGAAACACAATGTACATGAATGAAACAAAATTTATATGAATTTTATATGCACGTCAATATAAAATAAACAACAAAAAAGAAAAATCTCATCTGACTCAGCTATTCCACTTCTAGGAACATACACCAAGGAAAATAAAACTGCAACACAAATAGGAATATGTACACCTATATTCATAGCAGTGTTATTCACAATAGCAAGAAAATGGAAATATTTCAAGTGCCCATCAATAAACAAATGGATTAATAAATTGTAGTACATTCACACAATGGAATATTAAAAAATAATGATTTGTAAAATACTGTATAATGTGGGAGAGTCTAGAAAATATTATACTGAGTGAAACTCATAAGGATGAACAAATTCTGATTAAGACCATTATTATAAAAACAGACAGTTAATTAGTAATGTGTATAAATGCCCTTAAGGAACGGAAGGGAAAATGGAGAAGAAAACATAAAAAGGGGAAAGGTAGCAGATATGATAGCAGAGTTTAATGGGCAGATGTGAAAGGGTGTGAAGGAATAGGAAAGATTCAAGGGGGACTAGAAAAGACTGAGTAGTAATAGACATTGATCAACAGTAATTAGTTCTAAGGAATACAATGTATGTGAATGATTGTATGAAACACAATGTAAATGAAAGATTATATAAAACAATGTACATGAATTTTTAAAAACCCCACTGGCATTATTAAATTTTACAACAAGAAACTAAAGCTTAAATACTTTCATTTTATTATTATCTCAACTGCTCCTTAAGTCTATGTGAGTGATACAGTCTTTTCCCCCTATTTTATTTCTTTATTGTAAAATTAAAATTAATTTTAGAAATTCCTTTTTTAAAGTAATATAAGGAAAACTCTGTGTTAGAATTATCTCTTTAGCGTGGTTGAAAGTTTATTTCCAGATTAAGGAATAAAACCAGGATTAGGGTGTATGTGAGGCCTGTACAAGCATGGTCAGTTATCTAAGTCAGAGATACACAAAGAGACAAAGGCATGGAGGTGAGAAAGTAAATCTATGTCTTGGAAGGGACAGGTAATCAATCAAGCAGCGCTGGAGTAGTATGTATGTGACGGGAGTAGTGTGGCCTGAAGTAATGATTGGAAAATAAGAATGGAATAACGTGAATAGGCATGGATGGCTTTTTAAGCCGTTTGATCTCTATTCTGAATATACTGAGTAGCAGTTGGAAGCATGAGTTGACAAAATAAGTGATTGAAGTTGTGTTCAGCTGAATTGTTGCAGTGCAAAAGGGGAGTTGTAAATAGAAATGGTCAGTGCAGGTAGAGACCAGGAGGGTCTTCAAGCAATGACACTTTGGACAAGTAAATGGAAAAAGGGAGAAGATGGAAATGTCCAGGTAAGATTCTGGTCTTGCATTCAGCATTATTTATTTTGTAAATTGTCTACAAAGAGTAAGTCTGCTGTTCCTCAACTACAAACATTTTATTCAGACCTGACACAATCTTTTAATCCTTTTTTTACACTATTATTTATAATATAATTACCTTCCTTGAAAAGAGATAATTATCAGTTAATGAAATCCGAATCCTTGGATTAAACCAATAAAAATTTGAACTTTAAAAAACTGTATTAAATGCAAGAGTAAATAAACTAAGAAAATAATTTGAGCCCACTATATAAAAAGTTATTTTGAAAAAATTTTATGACAGCATGACTCAACTTGTATATATAAAATTACCTCAATTCTGTTTAAAGAAAAAACACATCATTATATATAAACACTATGTTATGCTCATAATTTTCACAATAAAAAATGTTAAACTTTATTTAGACTTATTTAGGAAGAGACTGCCTAAATAGCAATATTCAACATTTAATAAGAAGAATCATTAAAATATCTTGGGCAAAATTTCACTATGAAAATTTCATTTGGCATATTAGGTTGTGCATTTGAATACTTAATTAAGCTAGCTTTGGGCATGGCTACTAGTATATTCTGCTTCAAAGAAGTACATTGTATTGGTGGCCTATTGGGTAGGGAGTTGCTCTGCTCACTGAAGGTAATGCTGTTTGAATCCACCAGGTGCTCCACTGGAGAAAGATGGACTATAAAATACACAGGACGAAATAATCCATCCTTCTCCAGTGGAGCAGCAGGTGGATTCAAACAGTGAAATTGTCATTTGTTTTTCCTTTCATATTTTTTAAACTTTCTGCTTTTATTTTCAAGTTTGAGATTAGCTTTTAAGTTCTTTTTTAAGATTGCAGTTCTTCAGGATATTAGGCTATACCAACGTGGATTTGAGTTCAATAGCTCCTCTTGTTAAAAACCACATGTAAAAACTAAAATATTCACAGTAAATTTCTGGGAAGTGGACTGGGGAGAGAAATAGGTAAAGGCATCAGAACAATTTTGTTGTAAACTTTTTAAAAAGCTTTTAAAAAGCACTGTTTCAAGTTATTTGCATGTATTGTATCTATGGACCAAGGAGGGGGAAAGTAAGAAGGTAGAAAGACTCCAGAAATACTGGTCATTCAATTAAAAGGAGATATTTTATTGAAAGGGAAAAACATGAGCACTTTCTGAATACTTTATAACAGTGTGGATGAAAATGGCCTTCTCTATTACTTCCTTTCCAAGGAGGAGGGGCCAGCCCATCCTTAGGGACACAAATTTCTAATAAGTTTCTCTTTTTGCCTTCAACAACAGCACAAAAAAGAGTAAAGCACTGATAAAGTTCTTAAACTAACTCTTACCATGGGGTCAGAACAAACTCATAGCTGAACTTACTGTTGGGTTTTCAAGACTATAAATCACACTGAAGGAAATTGCTCATCTTTCTATCATGGAGCCAAGAAATGTGGCCTTTGAGTTAGCACAACTCTGTAAGGTCTATGCCTCCAGCACTGAGTACAGACACAAGTACCCCATGAAATCTAGTCAGCAATTATCCTGATTCAAGTTTCAAATAAAGCTTCACTGGTACCTGTGTTCTACCTAAATTCTGGTATGCTGAAGCTGTTGTTGTTGTTGCTGAGTGCCATCAAGTCAAGGGACTCATAGTGATGCTATAAAAACTGCATCTGAACTCTGTCCTATCCTGTGCCATACATATCATCCTCAACACATTTGAGTCCATTGCCAGAGATAAAGTTATCAATCCATCTTGTTAAGGGTATTCCTTACCTTTGTTAATGCTTAACTTTTCCAACTAGGCTGTCCCTTTCCAAGGAATAGCCTCTCCCCAAAACATCTTTAAAATATATGAGGTGAAACTTTACCATTTTTTTGCCTCTAATGAAAACTCCACCTGCACTTTCTCTAAGACATATCTGTTTGTT